GCAAACGGAACCCATATGCCGCCAGCACCCAGAAGCAATGTCCCCAGAGGCTCGAAGCCCTCCCATGACCCCTCCCTGTCCCAAAGGCCCCGTGCTGACCCCGTGGCATAGATTAGTGTCCTGCGTGTTCGTGAGATTCTCGCCGCCGCGGCGTGTTTCATTCAGCGAATTTCCCACAACAAATTTTTCTTTTCTACGATTAATGAGCATTTGGGCAGTTTCCACTTTTTAGCATTAGGAATGCTTCACACGGATTTGTGTTCCTTCCCAAGTTCACGTGGGGGGCGGCGTGTGTCGTGCGTGTGCAGAAAGGCCATCCATTCCACGCGGGGCTCACGTGCCCGGCCCTCCCCCGGAATCACTTGCTCTTTGTCGTGTTTCCATTTGACTTTCTGGCGTTTCCCCCAGGTGTGCCGTGGACCCATCCGAGACAGTGGCACTTTGCTTTCTCCTTCCGATTGTGACATATTCTGTGTCATTCTCTTTTATCGTTGTATTACATAAGCCATCGAAGCAAGTAAAACATTAGTCACACGAGAGAAATGTTAGTGAATATGGCCAAATTTACCTTCAGAAAAAGAAATTTCATCCGTTTTTACACCCACCACATTGAGTCACATTTTGAACCCCCCGTTGGAGTGTCTGTTTGGGAGGTGTCCTGGGGACGGTCCTCGGTCAGGATGTGCTTACCCAGAGCTGTCGCCGGGTCCAGTCTGGACTCGCCAGGGAAGGAGGCACCAGGGCTGGGCCGGGGACATGGGGGTGCAGCTCCCGGGCTACAAATCAGACACGGGCCTCATGGGGTTGACCTAGGGCCATGGGGGGACACTGAGTTCTGAGGGTCAGTCCTTAAGGGACTGCAATAGTTGAGGGAGCATGGGGGGGACAGGCCTCGTCCCCAAAGCAAACGGGGCAGGGGCTCCAGAATGTGCACCAGGAGGTCCCTCTTCTCCTTGAGGGTGTTGGAAGCCACAGCGCCGGGGCTGCGAGGTTGGGGCGCCTGTTCTGGAAGAGAGGGGGCCAGACTGCAGTGTGGGAGTCCGATGGAGGCACTGCCACTTTCAAGTGATCCCAGTCTGCCGGAGCCACCTGGGGTCTTGTGCTTAGAACCTCAGATCTTGCACTGGCAGCAGATGGGGACACAGCAGCTGGACTGGGAGCAGCAGGGCTTGCAACAGCTGGACTGGGAGCAGCAGGGCTTGCAACAGCTGGACTGGCAACAGCTGGACTGGGAACAGCACGGCTTGCAACAGCTGGACTGGCAGCAGCTGGGTTGGCAACAGCAGGGTTTGCAACAGCTGGACTGGCAGCAACAGGGTTTACAGCAGCTGTATTGGCAACAGCAGGGTTGGCAGCAGCTAGACTGGCAACAGGAAGACCCACAGCTGCCTTTGCATCCTCCACAGGACCCACAGCTCCCCTTAGAGCCCCCACATGAGCCACAGCCCCCCTTGGAGCCCCCACAGGACCCACAGCCCCCTTTGCCACAGCCGGAGCAGGAACAGGCTGGCACACAGCAGCACACGGGCTTGCAGCAGCAGACAGGGACACAGCAGCTGGAGCCGCAGCCCCCACAGCCGGAGCCGCAGCCCCCACAGCTCGAACCGCAGCCCCCACAGCTGGAGCCGCAGCCCCCACAGCCGGAACCGCAGCCCCCACAGCCGGAGCCGCAGCCCCCGGAACAGCCACAGCAGCCCATGGTTCTGGTGGGTTGAGGGAGGAGCAGGTGAGAGGAGCAGGTGAGAGAGGTGCAGGTGTGGAGCCTACTGAGCCCCGGCCCTTTATACCCCTGCCCAGGGTCAGGCGTGACGCTGGTCACATGATCACTTCCTGGTTCCTGTTTGAGCCATTTCTCTGCAGCCACGTCTTGTTTGTTGTTTGTGTTTCTGGAGTCCGTGGGCTCCTGTTGGCTTTAATCCAGCACATTCTACCCGAGGCTCTAAAGCTGGCGTCCTCTCCATCTGCTTGTGCCGTGTGAGGATGGCTCCAACTTCAGGAAGTTCCTTCTTGTCTCCTGGAGCCGATCATCTTGGGCCACCTGCGTTTGACGGATCCGGATGCCTGTCCCAGCTTCTCTGTTTTCTGCAACAAAACATTTCCCATTTTAAAATGTCAACATTTTATATTGACATTGAGGTCTTAGTTAAACACTAGGAGAAAATTAGAGAAGAGTAAGTCACCCATTATCCCCATCTCTCGAGGGCTCACATTTTGGTCGATGTCGCCGATCTTTTCTCAGTGGGCGTCTCTCCCGATCTCTGTGTCCGCTGTCCGTGGTCGCCACGTTTTCCAGCCCTCTGAGGCACGTGCTCCTACGAGTCCATTTGGAACGGCCTGACTCCTGTCCTGGCACGCAAGCTGTTTCCAGTTCCAAGTGTGTCCACCGCCCTCCGCACCGGGGCTGGCGGCTCCGGCCCTCTCCCTCCAGTCCCCTCTGCAGACGCCGGTTGCTTGTAATCTCATAACTTACTGTGGATAACTACATGAACTTTTAGCATCGTCATCAAATTTGGAGACACATCTGCCACATTGCTTTCCTGTGTGGGCTGTGCCATCTGGAAGACGTTTCTATTTTTGGTAGAGACAGGGGTCTCGCCCTTGCTAAGGCTGGTCTCGAACTCCTGACCTCAAGCAATATTCCGGCCTCAGCCTCCCAGAGTGCTGGGATTATAGGCAAGAGCCTCCGCGCCTCTCCTAACTTTATTTTTCAGAACAACAAAGCAACAACTCCTGGGTTATTTATTCGTCTTCACATTTGCTCTGGAATTCGCAGATTTCTGCTTTCATTTTCCTGACCCCTCCCGCGGTGCCCTGTGTGCTGCGGTCATTCTGACTGGCCGGCCACCGTCCGCACTGCCTTGGTCCTGGCGGAACAAAGCCGGTAGGTTTAGCCATAGCAACGGTTTTTTCTGCGGCATACAGTTCAACCTAATTCAGACAGTTGCACCTGATTCAGACATTTCGTTATTTTCTTCTTTCTTTACTTTTAATTTCTGGTTACCCATGCGGTAGCTACAGCCAAGCTCCGAGGCACACGTACTAGAGATTTCTCTCGAGTGGATGTTTGGAGGAGACTGAGGCAGACCTGACTGAGGTGCCCCGTAGCACCGAGTGGGTAGAGGACAGAGAAGCTGAGAGGCGGGGGCACGGTGGGTGTGGACCGTGCTGGGCTGAGGGATGGGCCGTGACAGCTGGGGGCAGGGCGGGCTGGGGGGCCGCGGTTAGGGTTGCAGGACAGACCTGGAGGGGCAGGAGCGCAGGCTGCAGGGGGCGGGGCCCGACACATACGTCCTGCCAGTCCGTGCTCAAAAGGCAGCCAGGGCTCCGCTGAACGCTCTTCCCCTTAGAAACCACTTTGTCCCGTATGAAATGTCACAGGGGTAATAGTGATGATGTCCAAGGGACAACGTAAACTGACAAATTGCATAACGACAATCATCACAACTTTGGAGTCAATTTTATATAATACAATAAATCATAATTTATTAGTGTGATATCTTGGTTGATCATAAGGCTTTTTTGGTTCGCTTTGCTACAGATTTATTTATTAGGTGTTGGTTATACTTTTAGCAATTTCATCTCCAGTTGCCATAACCCAAGCGAGCGCAGCCTCTCTCGGCAGAGCAAGAGCACGCGTAGTTTCTGGGCGTCCGACGAGGCTCTTTCTGCAGATGCAACGTTACTGGGGCCGTTTAAGGTATTTTATAGGCTGTGGCCACATTAGGATAAGTTTCCGACACGTTGTTTCAAAATACAAATGTTACTACACCTTGATGGGATGTTTCTCATGGAAAAAATTTTCTTCAAAAATCGTCTTCATATAAATCAGTTTCATGTGGGTCTAAATTAATTTTGCTAATAAACTTCATGTTTTGGAGCAGTTCAGATTTACGGAGAAATTACCAAGAAGGTCCCCACGTGGCTCACTCTGGTTTCCACTATCACTGAGCCCTGGCACTCGCAGGCGCCTGTGCCGCACGGACCGACCCACGTCGAGACGTCCCTGTCAGCCGCCGTCCGCACGTCCAAAAGCATTTCGTGGCGTTTCCTGCTCCTTTTCTGCACCGGGACCGAGCAGACCCCGCAAGCCTCGCCGTCGCCCTGTCTGCTCAGGCCCCTCCTGGGTGTGGCGGTGTCTCAGGCTCGTCCTGTTTTGGTGACGGTGGCAGCTGGGGAGGACTGAGCAGTGTTTTGTAGGATGCCCCTTCACCGGGAGTTTTCCGACCCCGGTGGTGACCTGCCCTTCTCATCTCACCCTCTCCAGGGTCCACGCTCCAGACGCCACTCGTCACTGCTGATGGTGACCTTGACCTCCTGGCCGAGGTCGCCCGTGGATTCTCGGCTGTGACGCTGCGCTCAGCCTCCTCCCCCCTGCGCTGTGCTCTGCGGGAGGATATTGCACTGCGCAGCCCGCAGGGGGTGCAGCTCTTCTTCCTGAGGGCAGAGTGTCCTCAGTTATTGGGGTTCCGGATGGGAGGTCTGTCCTGTCCAATTCATTTCTCTGCTCAATCACTTACTTATACCAGTTTGCACGCAGGGATATTTATTTTACACCTTGGTGAGAATCCAATAATGCTTTATTTTGTTGATCTCATTGTTTCATTTTTGGCACTGGGAGCTCTTTCCTTTGGCTCCTGTGTCCTGTGGCATGTTCCCATCCGTGCGTGAGACCATGTATGTGCACATGTGTGCGCATGTGAGTGCACGTGTGTGTGAGTGTGAGAGTGTGAGAGAGCGTGTGATTGTGTGTGATTGTGTGTGAGAGAGTATGTCAGGGTGTCTGAGGGTGTGAATGGGTATAAGCAGCTGAGTGGGTGTGAGTGTGAGTGAGCGGGTGTGAGCGGGTGTGAGCGGCTGTGAGTGGGTGTGAGCGGGTGTGAGCGTAAGTGAGTGGGTGTGAGCGGGTGAGTGTGAGTGGGTGTGAGCGGGTGTGAGTGTGAGTGAGCGGGTGTGAGTGTGAGTGAGCGGGTGTGAGCAGGTGTGTGAGTCAGCGGGTGTGAGCGTAAGTGAGCGGGTGTGAGCAGGTGTGAGCGGGTGTGAGTGGGTGTGAGTGTGAGTGAGCGGGTGTGAGCGGGTGTGAGCAGGAGTAAGTGGGTGTGAGCGTGAGTGAGCGGGTGTGAGCGGGTGTGAGTGTGAGTGGGTGTGAGCGGGTGTAAGTGGGTGTGTGAGTCAGTGGGTGTGAGCGGGTGTAAGCGGGTGTGAGTGTAAGTCAGTGGGTGTGAGCGGGTGTGAGTGTGAGAGAGTGGGTGTGAGCGGCTGTGAGTGGGTGTGAGTGTGAGTGAGTGGGTGTGAGCGGGTGTGAGCGGGTGTGAGTGTGAGTGGGTGTGAGTGTGAGTGAGCGGGAGTGAGCGGGTGTGAGTGGCTGTGAGCGTGAGTGAGCGTGAGTGAGCGGGTGTGAGCGTGAGCGGGTGTGAGCGGGTGTGAGTGTGAGTGAGCGGGTGTGAGCGGGTGTGAGCAGGTGTGAGTGTGAGTCAGGGGGTGTGAGTGGGTGCGAGCAGGCGCGAGTGGGTGTGTGAGTGAGCGGGTGTGAGCGGGTGTGAGTGTGAGTGGGTGTGAGCGGGTGTAAGCGGGTGTGAGCGAGTCAGCGGGTGTGAGTGGGTGTGAGCAGGTGTGAGCGGGTGTGAGCGGCTGTGAGCGTGAGTGAGCGGGTGTGTGCGGGTGCGAGTGTGAGTGGGTGTGAGTGGGTGTGAGTGGCTGTGAGCGGGTGTGAGCGGGTGTGTGAGAGTGGGTGTGAGCGGGTGTGAGTGGGTGTGAGCGGGTGTGAGCGGGTGTGAGCGGGTTTGAGCATGAGTGAGCAGGTGTGAGCGGGTGTGAGCGAGTGTGAGCGGGTGTGAGTGGGTGTGAGCGGGTGTGAGTGGGTGTGAGCATGAGTGAGTGGGTGTGAGCGGGTGTGTGAGTGAGTGGGTGTGAGCGGGTGTAAGCGGGTGTGAGCGAGTCAGCGGGTGTGAGTGGGTGTGAGTGGGTGTGAGCGTGAGCGGATGTGAGTGGGTGTGAGCGGGTGTGAGCATGTGTGTGAGTGGGTGTGAGCGTGAGTGGGGGGTGTGAGCGGGTGTGAGTGGGTGTGAGCGGTTGTGAGCGTGAGTGAGTGGGTGTGAGCGAGTGTGAGTGGATGTGAGCGGGTGTGAGCGTGAGTGAGGGGGTGTGAGCGGGTGTGAGTGGGTGTCAGCGGGTGTGAGCGGGTGTGAGTGGGTGTGTGAGTGGGTGAGCGGGTGTGAGCGGGTGTGTGAGTGAGTGGGTGTGAGTGGGTGTGAGCGGGTGTGAGCGGGTGAGAGTGGGTGTCAGTGGGTGTGAGCGGGTGTGAGTGTGAGTGGGTGTGAGTGGGTGTGAGCGGGTGTGGGTGTGAGTGTGAGTGGGCATGAGTGGGTGTGAGCGGGTGTGGGTGTGAGTGGGTGTGAGCGGGAGTGAGCGGGTGTGAGTGGGTGTGAGTGGGTGTGAGCAGGAGTGAGTGGGTGTGAGTGGGTGTGAGCGGGTGTGAGTGTGAGTGAGTGGGTGTGGGTGAGTGTGAGCGGGCGTGAGCGTGAGTGAGCGGGTGTGAACGGGTGTGAGCGGGTGTGAG